TGAATTCATCTTATTTTATGCTTTAAACACGGAATCTGATATACAAATAAGTACCACGCGTAGGTTTTTAATTTAATATTTATTTCATCAAAAAACAATATTATTATAGTATAAATTATTATAAGGAAATAAAAAAATGTGGCGGCTTGACTTTTACAGTAAAATATCCTAAATTATATTAACAAAACTAATAAATATCGGCAGTTATTTCATTATGGAGTGATAGAATTCAAATTATTTAGTAGTTTTGGTTAGTTTTGGATAGTTTTGGTTAGACAGATGGGTATTTATTACCATTATGAAGTAGAACGGCTTTCAAGCTTTTTTTTGAAGCATCAATAATAAGTATCCATTCACTAGAATCTTCTGGAAAACTTTGTTCTTGAAGAAGCCCTGCAGCATACAATATACCAAATCATCTTCTTTGGAGAAGTAACTTGTAAAACTTCCTTGCCTCGTACGAAAATATGAAACTCTGGTACTTTTAGCCAATAGATTCCACTGTTTTAACCTTGATCCGAGTAACTGCGCCTTAGATTTTGAAAGTCCCAAGTCTCTAACAAGATCATTTAAGTCGCCTTGTTCAAGTAAATGAGGTTCTGTAGATGGACATTGAGATCCAGATAAAGTGTATGAAGATGAAGATGTACTACCAGAAAGAAAACTCGATTGAGATTGTAGACCTAAAACATTTTTTATTTTGCTTGGAGTGTCTTTATCACGAGGAATTGATCTCTTGGCAGATAGGACGTTCGGATAAACAATCTTATCTCTATTTTTTTCGAGAAATAACAATCATCCTCATGATTTTGAGGCTCGCTCCAAATCGTTGGAATTGAAAACGGCATGGATTTGTGACTTTCTTCAAGCCAACCTCTCAACGTTCTTGAGCAGCTATTGCAGCATACTTTTGGCAACTAACTTTTATCTCGCTCATCGATAGAAAATCCAAAATACAGCTTATAAGCTGTTTTAACCAGATCGGTCATGACTGTGTTTTTAGTATGCATTCCCCACAAATGTAGCAAAAACAATGTGAGGAATTTTTACAAGTCCGTGGCATTTTGTAACCTAAAATCACAGAAAATTAATTTTAAAACAACGTTCAAACTTCTATTTTATATTTAGTGGTTCTACTTAAACGCCTTACCTCTGCTCTTCTCTCTAATAATTTCCACGTTAAAGGTATTTAGCGTTCCATCAAAAAATACACTTCACCACAACCTTCCAATAGCAATGAATCCGAAAGCAATCCTACACTTGCCACTGTGGTTCTTCCTTACATTCAAAACATCACTGACCACATATCAAAAGTTCTAAAGAAGTATAACGTCAAAACCAGAGATACGAACACAATCGCGAAACCGGATATAAAATTTTATTCGATTAAATTAAAAATCTTGCATGTAATCAATTCCTCTACAAACGAAAAGTCCAAGTCTCTACCTGTCACCAATATGGGAATCAGTCATCCGAAACGGTGTTTATGCCCCTCATTTAGCTCCGCCCCCCTCAAACAATATATAAGCAGCTACAGAGTAAAATGCAAGCCAGTTCTAGTCAAGCTCTGAAGAAGCCAACAGGATGATTGGCGAAACGTCAGCAGCTTCGACTCACCAAAAACAGAAGCTTTGTAAAAAGTAATATATCAGCAGGTACAGCACTGGTACTGAGAACCTGCTTGTTCCTAATCAACGTGCTGATTGACGCTGCCAGAATTTTCCCCTGGCGTCCCAAGATCCTCTACGCACGGGAATACGGATAAGCAAACAAACAACAAATAAAAGTAATGTATTCGTGCCAGCGGCTGAAATTGCGGCCGTTCCACGCTGATAAGGAACTTGATGAGAAAAAAGAGCGGACTTAATCCATCCCGATGAAATGTGCCGTTATCCTGAATAATGGCGGCACGATTTTTGTTTCTGGAGTAGATTTTGTCGCCGCCGAGTATAGACCGGGACACAGTTTATCGTACATAAATAACGCTAAGAAGATTTACGTATGATTTATTAGCACCGATAGTTAACCACGACAAGCATCTAGTTAAATTATCGATAAGGATTATACGAGTTAAGCTCCCGGGTCATTAATGAAGTTGCAAGTGCTTTTATTTTAATGGTTTATAGTGGAAAAGGAAACAGAGACAGCGAATATTGCTTCGGTATAATTTCATCGTTAAATTGGAATGACTGGGAGATATACTATTAGTTAACTAAACATAGACTAAGTATATAGATTATCAGTGTGTGAGTGGGTGGGTGGTTTCTCGTATCGTTGGGTTTTTATAAATCGCCACTATATACAGAATTGTGGATGATGAAAACACACCGATGCCTTTTTCTTCTTAAAATGCCATTCATTAAAGATCGGCAACAATTATGGCAAGTTCTTCTCTATTTTGTGCTCTCCTTAGTAATGTGCGTGAGTCCAATCCAGTCCAGTCTCTGATGATCTTCAGCCAATAGCATTGTCGGCGTCGGGGACCGCGTTTTCCCTCGATTTTACCTTCCATTATGAGTTGAAGGAAATTGTATTTATTATGTCTCATAAGATGACCGAGATTCTTTTTTTTATTGTATCGGGAAGATCCCATTCGTTGTTGGTTCGATGTCCCAAATTTGAAACGTCTATGGCATCCTTAACATTCTGCAATACACCCACATCTCAAACTCGACACCGCAAAGAAGTGTGGAAAATGTAGGAAATTCCTTATTTGTGCCCAAATGCCCAAATACCTGAACTTCGAGACTCTTGGTATTGGTGTTCCATCTACAGTTATGTTCATGCCTTGGTTTGGATTACGATTTATTGCCATAACCGCTTCCAGCATAACTAATCTCTAATAACGATCTCGGGAATCGAAAAAGAACACAAAAAAGCCGGACAACCCAACACTGGACGAGGATAATTTCAACTTATTCATTAAACCGGTTTACGTGAACAGCAAACGCATCTGACTTCGTCGACCTCTTTCAATTACTGACCATTCTTGAAATGAGATTTAAAAGTAACTACCCGCATACCTATCAAGCGTGGAGTTGGGCAAGGATGCTTTTTGAGGCCTATGCTCTTGAATGTGTACTCAGAATCAGTATTTCTTGCGGGATCAGAAGGTAATATGAGATGGGCAGTCTGCTGGGTCTACTCGCAGTAGGTCTCAGGGTAAATACCAAGAATACAAAAGTCATGGCGACAATAAGAAACGTAAGAGATAACTAGTTGTGTCGTGGACACTCAAAGTAACTCGAATGAAGGATTGCCGCATTGAATGAACAAGGAACACAACAGCCTATTTGGTCCTATACTCCTGGTCAAAGAACATCAGAAACTGGACTAGCTTCGCCTCACATACCTTGGCGACAAAACCTGATATAGAGAGGAATTTGATAATATCTTTGCCGATTTTTACTGAATCATGATGGTACTGTATGAAGACGATAACTATACGTTTTACTAATCTTATGTTTAATAAATATTTTGTTATGTTTCGCTTTTATTTCTAATATTCTAAAAATCATGGTACTAGGGTTGATATAAAGCCGAAAAGAAGAAATTCACGCCATATTTAAATGAACGAAAATTGCCCAATAATGTTATTTTTTTTTGGGAATATTTGGCTATAGGACTAATTGAAATAGTTGTTGGATTTTTGTCAGTATATTTTTTTATTTTGTTGCCCTATATTATGTTTTAGTTTACTCTTACCTTAGTGTTACGAAGAATTGATATATAAAAAATTATAAAGGCCGAAAAAGTTCAAGGTTTTTGGCATTTATTTGTGTGTACAAAAACGGCCTAACATTTTTGGAAATAAATATGTTTTCGTTCATAAGAATTATAAAAACGTCTTAGATATGTTACCCGATCATAAAAAAATAAAAATAGGTTAAAACTAGGTTTTTACTGAAAAACACAACTCGCTTTCATTTACATTTTAGTACCCCAGTTGACTTTCCTGCTTCTTTATGATTTCCAAAATTTCAGGCTGTATTGTTGTGATATTGTGTAATGTAACCATGAATTTCTTTGGGAATACCCTCAAATATATAAGAATTTTTTATTCTTTCAATAAATATAATTTTCTACTTTTGGTGGCTGTATGTAAAATATCAAAATTGTCGTCAAAAATGTGTTTTTCTGTGTTTAAATGCGTATAATTAGAATCTAGACTATTGTTTTTAAACGCTCTTTTATTATCGTTAATGCGTTTCTTGAAGAATCTACCTGGTTATCCAGTATACATTTTATTTTTGAGATTTTGAACATTTTGTTTTATTTATTTTTTTATTTTCCTATTGTGTTGTTAGTTCTTAAAGCTATTTTTAAACCACATTTTGACAAATGTTTTGAAACTTTTGCACTGGGTTCTCCTATGTATGTAATTGTTTTAAATTGTTCGTGTTCTGCACTAGGTTTCGGATAAATAGAGTTTACTGTTGTCTGGATTTGTTTTTTATTTATAATTTTATCGATAATGGACAGATTGTAGCCGTTGTTTAGTGCAGTTTGTTTGTTTGTTGTAATTTTCTGTTGAGAGTGGCTTATTAAGATGTTTGCGTATAGAAGAGCGAAATGCAGCCATTTTGTGTGTATAACGGTGATTTGAGCTGTTGTGTATGACTGTGTCCGTGTGTGAAGGTTTATGTTAAATAGAAAAATCTAATTTGTTTTGCGTTTTCGTAATAGTTAAGTCTAAAAAATTAATAGAGTTATCCTGTTCAATCTCTGAACTTTGAATTCTTATTTATTTTGTTATATGGATTTTCATCAAGTAAAAACCACCTCAGTTTAGTTTTACTGTGTACCTGCTTATATATTGTTTGAGGGGGCGGAGCTACAGGAGCTAAGTTTGTTTGGTTGCTTATGGATTGCTATAGATTCTAGAATTTTTCGTTCTTGGAAGAATTGATTACGTGCACGAATTTGCCAGTGCTTCTGCTGCATCTCTCTAGGACATTGCATTGTTTGTCATTGAAAACTCGATATTAAATCTGTTGCAGCAGCAAAACGAACAATACATTGGCCCGGCGTACGATCCATCACGAGACCTTTCGCCCAATCTGCCTTCATGCGATTCCTCATCTATGGGTGATCCGTCGGCGGCGACTGGCATCCCGGGCGACCCCAGCATCACCTCCAGCGGCGGAGGTAGCGGCCGAGGCAGCGCGTGCAGCACCCCTTCGAACAACAACCACCAGTCCTGCGGGTCGGACATTTGTCGTCCGCCACCGAATCATCCCGCTTGTGCCAACGATTCCTGCCGCACCCTGTCGAATCATTCGTCGGGCAATGCCGAACCTTGCCGATCGGTCGTACCGTTCGGGCGGCCTGCCCGATCCGTGACACCTGCCGAATTGAGGAGACCGCAGTCCTCGTTCGAGCATCACATACCGAAAATAGAGCCGGAGCAGCCACCTTCGAACCCACCAACGCCACCGTCTAGGTAAGGTTTTATCGAGACGTACGCGGTTATTCTGTAAGGCGTCAGTTTTCCTTTTTCAATAATTAAAGTGTTAAAAACAAACAAGGGAAATTTGAGCAAGACTTCTGTTAAAGATGAGTCAGGCTCTACTGGAAGAGCAGCGCTTTGAAGATACTGTAGAAAAAATACTTTTGTGCTTTACTAACCAACTAAGCAAAACAGCACGAGAAATTACAAAGTCGTTGGAGGATGTTCTCCAAAAAAGAAGTGTGTTTACCAACCTAACTCTCAAAAGACGATTGCTAAAATTAAAGCACAAAATACATGAAATGTAAGGGGGCCATTTTCACCAGTTCGACTCCATAATTCGGCAACTAGAAAGTGTCGCATCAAAAGTTGAAGACGAAGATAAAGTTATTCTGTAAGGCATCAATTTTCTTTTTCAATAATTAAAGTGTTAATCAAGAGACACGTCCCTACCACAAGATAACCATGCATAAATCCAAACAAGCGAAATTGGAGCAAGACTTCTGTTAAAGATGAACAGGCTCTCTACTGGAAGAGAAGCACTTTGAAGATACTGCAGAAAAAATACTTTCGGGCTTTAGAACAGAGGCCATGTCGATTATTATACAATGTGTAAGTGACTTTGATATAATCAAAGATGCCAAAACAGCGAGAGAAATGTTAAAGTCGTTGGAGGATGTTCTCCAAAAAAGAAGTGTGGTTAGCAAGCTAATTCTCAAAAGACAATTGCCAAAATTAAAGCACAAAAAAACCAGAAATTGTCGTATCAAAGGTTGAAGACGAAGATAAAGTTTGTCATCTTTTATTAACATTGAATGAATATTATGAAGCAGCAATCACCGCAATGGCTCCTAAAGTGACAATGATTTTGTAAAATCTTGTTTTCTTGGTGAGGAACTCAAGGTAAAAGCTAAAAAAGGACTAGGTCATTCAGAAGCGATATTCAAAAGACTCCATATACATGCTACAAATGCGGAAAGGCAAACTTGCAGAGAAGAAGAACTACTAGGATTGGTGGGTTGATTCATTCAATGTCTACTCCAGAAGGCCATAAATATTTTCTAGATAATGTTGTGGAATTCGTGTTAAATTTCTTTAAAAAAGTATTTAGTTCATTGTAAAGAATGCTAAAGACGTCGAAAAACAAATAATTGTAAATATAACGGCATTTTGTCCAATATCTACCCTTGAAAGTAATAATTTAAACGAGGAAGATGCATTTAAGACCACGAAATGGAGAGAAGCTATTACAAAAGAATTAGATTCACATATAAAGCTAAAGACATGGTGCAAATCAGATTTACCAGAAGGAAAATCTGCACTTGAATCCACATGGGTATTTAGGACAAATTAATATAGGATAAAGAACGCAATACTTGTCCCTAAAGGATTTCAACTAAAGGTGAGGAATCTATTTGTACCCGTCTACTCGTCTGTAACAAGAATATCAACAATAAGACTATTAATATCATTCCAGCAATTTTGAATGGGAAACTTGAAAGTGAAGTTCACATTTATGCTACAATGGAGCATTATACAGACCATAAAGGTGTGAAATTTGATAAAGACAGGGTGTTGTCGAAACAATTGTCATATCAAAATATACAATTTCGTGAAAATCTGAACTTTTAGTTCTTATTTATTTTGAGGAATCCAGATGCTTTAAAAGCAGTGTTACAGTAGCCTGTGGATGTTTCTTTGAAAAATCAACATTCTTCTTCTTCTTCTTCTTTTTTAAGTAGTTCTGTGGACAGCGACTTCCTTTTTCGAGTGGTCGTTGGATTGTGGCAGTTTTCAAAGACGCTATGATAATAGACTTCCAAATTAATTGATTAAATCCAACGAAATGTCCTTAAGTGTGAATCAACAATCAACACTAAAATAGTGTCGTTTTGTAAGAACTCATTTGTATCTGTGTTTGACAGCTAACTACTACTAACTACTACTACTACTAACCTATTTCGTTTTTAAGCTAGTGGTAGCTGACGCTTTGTCTTTTTTGCAGCTGCGCGGATGACAGTGCGGTGGGTGTGGTGGTGTGCGCGGGGTGCGGTACGCGGATCACAGACAGATACTATCTCCAAGCGGTCGAGAGAAGGTGGCACGCAACTTGTTTGCAGTGTTGTCAGTGTAGAAACAGTTTGGACGGGGACATAACCTGTTTTTCCAGAGACGGTAACATATACTGCAAAAAAGATTACTATAGGTAAGTCTTTCACCATTAATCAGGGTGCCAATGAATTTCTCTCTGATGCACGTTATATTATTAAAGAAGGAGAATACTTAAAATGTATTTTATTATGTATTGCATTATCTACAATTATTATATTACTATAATCGCAGCGAACAAGCTAATAATAATATATTTTCTTTACTTTACTAAATAAACTAAGTTACTTAGTACACAGTTAAAATAATTAAACTAAATACTGAGGAACATTTTATTAACTTTACTACATCTTATTTTCTTAATAGATGATATTTTCAGTTGTATGAATGGTTTCGTGAATGTAGTGAGATACGTACCTACTGTCGCCATATTGGATATACTTAAGATTTGGCAGATTGTTATTCTGGAATTAGCAGCAGCAATATGGGAATGCATCAGAAAACGAAATGTGGGATGTTTTGAAGTTAAGGAAACACAACAATACAAGACAATACTTCTGTATAGTACGTCCCAATTCAAATTTATTTCCATAGTAAAATTGTTTGAGCAATATCTACATGAACACAATAAAAATAGCTAAGTTTCGTGAATATCTTTTTTTTTTTTTTAATTTATAAAACAAAAACCTAGTATTCGACATAGGGACATATACAGAAAAATAAAAAAGGTAGATGCTATTTTGCACACAACCACTTGTTCTGAGCTAGATTGTGATAATCAAGGGCAGCCAAGAGTTTTGTGGCTTCTGTATTCTGCGCTACTAAGCAGGGACCGTAAAATAAATCACAATATATGATTTGGGATAGGACATGACCTCAGAAGTTCTTGAATACTATTTTAGTACAGTAGTAGTTATGGATAACCTGGATAAAACAAAATTAATGAACTGGTTAACCACTGTTACATACAGGGATGTCTGGTAGTAATATTATAGGACATCTCCTAATCAGCTGGGAACTGACTTAGAGTACCTCAATGCGTAGAGTAGAGGAACTATCTAAGCTCCTCGCGGAGGTACTCTATCCAATACAGAGACTTCTTATAAAGGAGAGGAATAAAATGTGTAAGCATAATAGATCAAGAAGTCAATTCAGAATTGCAGGAATGCTGACTTTTTCACCCTAAAGAAAAAGAATACATAACATAATTTGTTAACGATTTGAGCAAATAACAAAAATTCAAACACATTTGAGATAACAAGAGACATGAGCCCCTATTTACAGATATTTTGTATTAATTTATACACTAAAAATAGAAAGAAGAGAGTGATGTTAATAACAGCGTGCAGCTGCTATTTGAACGCATTTAGTTAATCTTTAACATTTTAATTTCATTCAATTAGAAACGCTTGAAAATTTCCAGTAATTAAGCTGGAGGCTGAAGATTCATTTTAATAATATGTACTTCAGACCGTAAGCTGATTCCGTGTAACCATATTTAAAAAAAGTAGATACTGTGCGAGAGAGTAACTAATGTGTAGAATGCCATAGATCCAGCGCAGACAAGAGTTTTGTGGCTTCCTTATTGTGTAGTGTTAAGCAGGGACCACAGAGAACATCACAATATGTAATTTGGGATAAGAGTTATGAATCTCAAAGTAACGATTTGAGAGACCTATAAAACATATTGTAAAACATTTTTTTTACTTTACAATCTTATGCAAAGGACAATTCAATAATATTGACATATTTGTAAATGAAATTTGCAGCCAACGCATACAAAACTGAATACAGAAAAACTGTAGCAATAGTACAAGTATCATCTTACTTTATACTATAACAAGTTTTTATTTATTTTTTTTTCAAAAATACCAAAAAATTTGTAGGATTTTGCAAAATGAAAAACACCAATAAGAAGTATCAAAAAATTATTATATTAAAGAATAATGAAGGAATAACATTAAAATCTAGCTAATCCACATCGAGTCCATCAACATCTTTAACTATACGTCTATCTGATTTGAAGCTGCTATAAAAAGGCAGTGCCCGTTATAAGATGCACCATTTCGTTTATGTTCTTAAGATTCTTTTCAGAGATTGGTTTACCATTTGGAACTAATGGTTGTGGATGATCTTCCTCTCAGATTTTTCTATATTTTTTGCCAGGTATTCATTGGCTAAATTATTTTCTTTAACTAAGATTATAAAATCGCTTAGTTTCTTTTTTCTCCTGTTTCTTTTTGTCGTTTGTTTACAATTTTTTTTCAATATTTGGAACGCCATGAAAATTATCAAGTGGTTTTATTTTAAGGCAGCTTCTCATAATATCAATATAGTCATCAGGCGTATAAACACGTTGGAATGATTTTAATTTGCATTCTATATGGCTGAAATCCGAGTCGTTCGGTAAGAAACTGTGTGCCGACATTAGAAAATTTAGGGTAATTGTTTCGAGATTTTTGGTATTTTGTAAAATATATATAAGGAAAAGAGTCATTTTAATATTTCTGTTGTGCTGAGAATTCCAGCATTATATGCTATGAACTGCCTTTTATAGAACATAATATTTGTGGGTATTCATGATAAAGTTTTTTTTTTTGGAGATAAAAGATGCAAGCACTCGTATTCATCATTGCCTTCAGCATTTTCAAAATCTTCTTTGCGCAATGTCCCAGCTTCGTTGCGTCGGTTTTTGTTGTGTCGAACTTGCTAATCATCCTGTTGGCTTCTTCGAAGCTTAAAAGTTTCGGTTAAGCTAGCATCCCACTTGTATTGTATTGTAATGTATTGTATAATTTAGTGTGTCAAATGAGGAATATGTTTTTTTATTCCTTTTTTACGAATGGAAAATGTTCAATTATTTATTAATTTTATTGTATACGTTTGAAGTCAGTGGCGCGCCTTGCGTTTGTTATTTAAACTATCGGAAAACAAGCGGTTTCAACGAAGCCCCCCCGTACGGCACAGAAGTTCGAGCATTGTGGACGTCCGGCTTTTGTAATAATTCAACCGGCATGATAAACTACGGAATCTGCGAAACACGCGGGCAAGAACCGTCCCTTTGTGAGGGGAATATTCAAACAATTCGCGTTTCGCCGACGTGGCGTATGCAGCGGCATTTGCAGGAATATGCTCGGCTACTGTTTAATATGACTCCGTGATTAATTGTGTTCTTGGTTTTATTAATGCCCCCGTTGACCGTACCGGTAGCCGCATGGTGCGGGCATCGATTTTGAGTCTTCACGGCACCGACGTGCGACGATCTTCTTCTTGGTCGCGCGACATTTTTCGAATATCACGTCATCGCGCAATCGGCAACCATTTCTCGACCGACTCTAGTTGGAAACGCGAAATTCCACTTTAAATTTTCAGCAGTATAATCACAACACAAAAATAAGTTTTTATTGAATTGACCTTGCTAACGTTTCGCCAATCATCATGTTCGCTTCTTCAGAGCTTGACTGAAACTGACTAGCGGACACGGTGTTGTCTAAACAATTGTCATGTCAAAATATATAATTTCGTGAAAATATGAACTTTTAGTTCTTATTTATTTTGATAAATGGATTTTCATCAAGGAAAAGCTTCAGTTCAAGTCAAAACTTGGGCAAAATTCGCATAGAGCTGAAAATTCGCAGAGACGTTAAATATACCATATAGATGAAATGTCAAAAATCCTCTTCGATTCGACTTGTGCAAAAAAATGTATTCATGATCAAACGTAAAAAATTTAATTTTGTATTTGTATAAGATTGTATCCTATTAATTGAAAGTATGGTGATGTTGATAATTTTAAAAGTGGACTGGGTTTTCTTCTAAATTTTGTTTCAATGGATAATTGTCTACTTCTATTTCAACAATTATTTCTTCTTCTTGCAGAATCTCGGTTCGCTGTTCTAACAAAAAGGGACGCATCAATTGTCTCTTCATTAGAATCATCAGTCCGGCCCGGACAAATAATCCCACTTTTTGACAGTCCCAATTCTTACAACCCGTCTTGCAGTTACAGAAATTAGTATCGAGCAGTTTTTCTGGAACAGACTGGAGTAGATTTTGAATTGGCTCCAGATAATGAACTGTTTATTTCCAACCCCATTCTTCTGGATTCAGCTCACTGCCTAGCCACACTTGAACTTGATAATACACGAGATACAAATGCTGACGGAAATAAGCAGATGTTGGAGGTATACAGGACAACTGTTTCTCCTTTTATCTATTGAGTCATTGAGCATTCCAACCAGGCAATAATAGATTTTTCCATTTTCCATATAACCATAAAATACCTACTTTTTTAAGTAAGGATATTGTTGTGTCATGTTCTGCACAAATATGTTATAGCCTACTACACCATCTCCTTGATAGATTTGTATTGGCACACGAGTGTTTTCTGCGAAATGTTGTGCTGGAGGAAGTGTATTTGTTTGTATTGTTGTCTTATTGGAAAATATAATTATTTGTCTTAACTTTTGAATTGTTTTGAATCTGGCTTTTTCGTTACCTTCTTTTTTTTTCTATTTCTCTTCTAGATAGTAGGTAATTATGTAAACAACATTCTATTAAATTAGTAAACGGTTGCATACATTTACAGACGAAAAGGTGACATTTAAGTCAAATAATTTCTTCTATTCATAGGCGTAACAACGATTTACTAAATGTAGGAAGCAAGTAATTGAGACCTTGTTTTTTGGTTTGCTTTTACAGATTACTGTATTTTATTTCCAGTCTAGGATTGCGATAGAGATACCGCCTAAGGAGAAAAACTGACCATATGATCGTGTACAAGGTGACAATATGGTAAAATTTATTGCACGGTGTATTTTCTCGGAAAAACTCTCTAATAGAATATATTTGATTTGATTATTTTATATGTCGCTACACGCGTTCATATTATATTGCTAAAATGCGATTTCTGTCTCCAGAAACCAAAAAAAAAAATGTGCGTGTTGTTAATTAATACGCGTTTTATCCCGTCACACACACGCGCGCCTCTGTACACACATGCCGTTTTAGTTATTAGCGGAGGAAAAAAAAAACACTCCGACCTACTGCAAAACAAAATGGAAAGGATTAAGTCGAAGTGAAGGTTATTTTAAGCTA